CTCTATGCTCAAAATTATGGGGCTCATTGTGACATGTATATTATACAATACAATACAATACAATTTTATTTAGGTAAGGTACATACATACAATAAATATTTACAAGGATTGTTTGACTTATAGGTAGAGCTAGTACATACAATGCCTAAAGCCACTATTACGCAAAGCGTTTCGGGCATGTTATATTATATGATCATTATATCATTATATTCTATGATCAATCAGTGTTTTTGCTGGTATTACACTATATACACACATTGTATATACCTGTCTACATGTGTGTTCACCATAACGAACCACTAAGTTGGTTTGACGAGTCCAAAACAAGAGTGGCTGCGACACAACAGCCAGCAGACTGCTGGCTGACTCCCTCCCTCCTTAAACACTCGCCAAAATTCTGCCTGCCACCATACTGTTGTTGTTTTTAGTACACTATATACACAAATTATATGCAAGTATCTACATGTTTTATTCGCCCATAACTATACAACAACACTGGTATGGGGAGTTGAGGCAATAAGAGAGAGGTCGCCCCACATGTGACAGCTGCCTCCGTCACTGGTTCAAGGCCAGATGCACTAATATTCCTTTTCCCCTAACCATACTGTTTGTGGGGTTATTACACTATATACACACACTATATATATAAGTATCTACATGTTTTATTCACCATAACTGTACAACTTAGCTGGTATGATGTCCAAACAGCATAGTGGCCACTGCATGACAAGTCACACAGCAGGTAGCAGACGACAGCCTCACCCACTCCCTCACCTAAATGGCTCCTCCAAACAAACTCCTTTTGCTGTTATTACATTCTATACACATGTTATATATAAGTATGTACTAGAAGTGTTCACCATAGCGAACCACTAAGCTGGTAATGCGATTCCAAACAATAACATGTTGCCACACACCAGCAAGCAGATGACACTACCTTGACCCTCCCTCCCTCCCTCCCTCACCAAGATTACTCCTCCCATCATACTTCTCACATCGCAAATTCTCACTACAATCCTGGTATTATCAGAATCCTGGTCACTAAATCATGTAAATGAATAATTTTCCACATATATGTTTTGTAAAGGAACACAAGAAGCCATTTGAAGAATTTTAGATGCACGAAATAATGGCTGTGTGCTGTGGCTAGCGCTGTGAACATCTTGAACAGCATTTATTCACCGATATCTGAACATTGTACACAGTCTTTATCACAGTTAGGCTCTTCTGTAATACTATCATGACTAAATATTACCAGATACATATTTGTATATATATAATACCATATATATTTGGACATTTTTAGGCAATAATGTGGTCACAAGCTGAACAGCAGTGCTGTTAGCTCATGCTACATGTGCCAGTCTTGGTGGCTCACTCAGTACAGAGGCCTTCACACCCAGGAATGTTGCCCACGATTTTTGTTAAAAATGGCATCTGTTTAGGCGAGCCCTGAGGAAGCTAATGTGAACCCCATGTAGCCACAGGAGTTCCGAATGATACACTATACCTATGAGATCCCTGAGCCTCAAGGCTCATTGCACAGTGCAGTGGTTAAAGTGCAATGCATTACTCTCATTCGAATTAGTAGTAGGCCTAGGTGTTATGTGAAGTGAATGCCTGAAAATAAGTGTACATACTGTATTGATACTGAACAATACAAAAGAAGCGCCCAGAGGATGACGTAATCTTCAGCTTCATAAAAAGTAAGCCAGTTTATCAATTTTATTACAGTATTACAACATAGTTTATTTTTCAATAATAGATACATATTATTGCATATACATATTACATATATACTGCATTATACTGCAAATGTATATTCTATCATTAGCAGAGAAAAGGTGAACTCACAAGATTTTGTCTTGGCTAGCACTGGGATAGTGACGAGGCTCGATCGCCATTGCATGGCCTGGCCACCACAGCCTGTGTTGTAACATTAAAAATACATTACCTGTACTGTAGAGGATAAACCAAAACACATCTCTAAAATTTTATTGAGAAAACATTAACAATCATTCATTGATACACAAAATATTTAGCAATACAAAGGAATGAACCAGATTTTTTCCAACCATCTGGCCTTGATCAGACCATGTTCACGCATCATCCATGCAGCAGCTTACAGCTGGCTTAATTGTCAATGTGGTATTAACTTGGAATGCAATTACACAATGAACTGTGTTTCATTTTAGATACAGTGGTACCTCAGCTTACGAATTTAATCCGTTCCCAGGGACGGCGCGTAAGCCGAATATTCGTAAACTCAAACGAATTTCCCCATAAGAAATAAGGGAAATTGAATTAATCCATTCTAGACTCCCTAAAAAATTAACTTAAAAGTAAATTTTATACCCAATTCACCTAAATCTTTAATAACAAAGTATGTACAAGTTATTACTAACCTTTACTGATGGCATATGGAAGACGGTGAGGAGGAGGGGAAGAGGAGAGGTGGTAGTGTTTGGAAGGGAAGTCCTTTTCCATTATAATATCAGGTAGTGAGGACTTCTCTGAGGTACACTTTCTGGCATGTTTTGCCTGCATACCACTAGGACCTGCTTGTGGCTCACTACTTGCTTGTCTTACTAAGAATCTGACTAAAGACACTTGTTTTCCCTACATTTTAACACTTGTCTGTAGTGAGACATCACATTGTCATTTAAAAGGTCAATGCAACGGCCTGCTACAGCTTTATCTGGGTGAGTTTTTTCAACAAAACTTTGCAGTTCTTCCCATACTTCACACATTTTCTTAATGAGCAAGGAACATCCTCTACTGCCTCTACTTTCAACAATTTTCTTAGGTTGAACCTTACCACTGACTTTCTTGGGACCCATGGCAAGATATATAATAATAATTACTTTTATGTTCACATACCCAAAAATTAAAAAAACGCGGAAATTCTTTACAAAGAATTCGGGCTCAATTGTCACTCGGCAGGACACCTGGTAAACTGAGGTGCGATCGCCGTGCCACCACACGCTGGGACGGTCATACGCATATCAACAAACTCATTTCTCGAGGCAAAGCTTGTAACCCAATTGGAATTTTCCAAAAAAATTGGGCTCATAACCTGAAAAGTTCGTAAATAGGGGCATTCGTAAGCCAAGGTGTAACTGTATATAAATATACCTTACCTGAATGTTACTTGAAATATTACCAACACCTCAACTTCGGAATTACCGAGCCCCGCATTTAATGACCTGGGTACAGCCCCATATGGGCTGTTAAATCAAATGGATAGTGGAAACAGGTTTGGTATGAAAGAAATTTAATTTAGCTTGAGAACTGGCACAGTTGATAAAATGTAAAGGGTAACCAAGGTGAGAGATATTTTGTAAATAAAGGAAATTTCAGAATCAAGAAACTGAGGGTCACTGATGCTAGAGCACAGAGGAAGAGAGAAAGAAGAAGAGTTTTCTTAACAGGAGGAGGACGGTAGGAAAAGAAATGAATGTACTTACCACTATGCATGGGTTTGCGGTAGATAGGTAAAGGGAACCTGGACACAGAGCTGTGAACATGAACGTCAAGAAAAGGATGGAGGGAATTGCATTCCCTTTCAGCTTTGAAATGGGTAAAAGAAGCCAGATTGTTAAGAGAAGAGAGGATAGGCCAGAAAAGACTTAAAATCATGAAGGCCATAAAGTAAAAATGTCATCAACATAGTGAAGCCAGAGAAAGGGCTGAGTATCAATTGTGGGAAGAACAGACTCAAAGTATTCCATATAGAGATTGGCAGGAACGGGGGAAAGAGGTGAACCCATCTTGAGGTTATCTTGAGATGATTTCGGGGCTTAGCGTCCCTGCGGCCCGGTCCTCGACCAGGCCTCCTTTTTGTTACACATCCCCCAGGAAGCAGCCCATAGCAGCTGTCTAACTCCCAGGTACCTACTGCTAGGTGAACAGAGGCATCAAGATGAAAAAAACTCTGCCCATTTGTTTTTGCCTCCACTGGGAATCAAACCTTGAACCGCAGGACTACGAATTCGAAGTACTGTCCACTCAGCTGTCGGGCCCATAGTGACACTGAAAGTTTAAATGAAGTATTTTTCGTTGAAAGAGAAGAAGTTAGTCAACACAATCTGATGAGTTCGAGGAAAACGTCAGTGGGAAGCAGGAGAGGAAGAAGGCCCTCAGTCACCTTACAATTAAGGGAAGAGAGTCATCAAGGGGAACATTAGTACACAGAGAGTCGACATAAAGACAAAGCATCTTAGAGGAGGGCTGCAGGCGCAGTCTATCTATGAAATCCTGAGAGTGGTGAAGGTGGACAGGAGAAAAAATACCAAGATAAGGAGTCGACGTTTTAGCAAGCCTGGAGGCAAGAGGATAGCCGACAGAGCACCTTTCTTCAAGGGGCTCTGTCGGCTAACCTCTTGCCTCTTATATATTTTATAGCAGGCAGTTTAATTCAACTATGTGATTATTCTATAGTATGATCATTATAAATTCCCTTCCCTTTTGAGAGAGACAAAATTTTAAAATGTCCTTGTCCCAAGTGGGTACAAAAATCTAATGTCTAACATGATCTCATTGTCCTATTTGTGGTCAGGGCAACAAGGTAGGGGAGTTACTGATGTGCCATCCCAAGTAACCTGGATCATACCTGGAGAGGCTTTCAGGAGTTCTTCTTCGCCCCAAGCCTGGCCTGAGGCCAGGCTGGACTTGTGATAACTTGGTCCAACAGGCTGTTGCTTGGAGTGGCCCATAGGCCCAGTACAGCCTAGTTGGTCTGGCACTTCTTGCAAGAACCTGTCCAAGTGCCTCTTGAATACATCCATCATCATTTCAGCAATATTTCTAATGCTTGCTGGGAGGGTGTTGAACAGCTGTGGACATTTCATTTAAAGTCAAGGGCATTTCATTACATACAATACACTATATTTATGCCACATCTATAGGGAAGTCGTACTGTTTCCTGTAGGAGCTACATCACGTGAGCTAAAAGGCTCATGTGTTTTCTTTGTTCTTATGTTCATATTTTTATTTTGTAGGTGTTTCCCATCCAGATACAGAAGAAGGAGAAGATGAACCCACATCCATCAAATATAAACCAGAAAGACTTGTTAGTTTTCCTGGATTCAATGATCCAACTCCTCGTGGTGTCAGAGATGTGAGTACAGTAGTCTACAATGTGTTTACATTTTCCTTCTATGTTTGTATCACCCTAATCCATAGCATCAAGAAGAGATTAGTGCAAGTATTGGATGTTGTAGTTAAGGCTGGCATTCCTGGTGAGAGCCTGCCCTGCACCCCTCAAGTGAACCAGATAAGAGTTCCTGGTAGTGTGTTGAATGTGAATGTTTATATAATAACTTTAGGTTTGTGTGGCTGTTTATTGCTGTATACAGTGCAGTATTTACATTTCTGGGCAAGGCTCCCTTAATAGCTTCCCTAAGCTTTAGCTCTAGATTTTTCCAGATCACTGTTATTACGTCAGATCCTGTGTGACTTTCAGTCCACGAGAACAAGTAATTTCTGGGGGGTTGCCCCTTTGGTGACCCGGAGCTATCCAGGCTGATATGTAATACATTAGACTTTGGCATCAGTCATTGTGAATGAAGTTCATAGGCCTAGCAGGGACCACAAGCCAGAACCTGTCCCCCTCCCCCCCCCCCTCAGAGAGGCACAAGGAGCAATGAACGTTAGAATAGCACATGTGATTTTGAGCAGTCTATGTCTGCCATTAAACGGGTCAGGCACCCAGAAAGGTAAGGTCTCACAATTCGTGGGCTTTTCGGGTCGTTTCTGACGACCAGCAGTGGCATTGGGTGGCACTCCTTCTTCGGGGGGTTCGGGGCTGGCTGGGCGGGTCTCTTCTCCTCTGCTCTGTCTGGTCATCTTGGAGTAGTGGGTACGCTTGGGCGTGGTCGAAATGACGATGGTGCTGACCTAAGTGAACTACTTAAAAATCTTCGTAAGGTTACTTTCCTGAAGTGCTCTTTGGCGCATTCTTAGCCGGTACTTAGGAACCTTCATAGCACACATACTTATGCAGAAATACATGGAGCTTCGTGAATCTAGGTCCTGGCTCGTCGTTCCCGGTAGGCATAAGGATTCCTGTGACTTTATGACCCCAAAGTAATATAGCACATAGTTTCAAGGAGCCGACGGGGCTCCTAACAGAAATGACCATCATTATGTAGCAATACCAATTGACTCATCTTAAACATGTAACCCATGATTGCAAGCTTGATGAGCTGACTCATACTGAATCACACCAATGACCACAGAGGCTTTCTAGGACCTGAAGACCAAGTAGGGATCCCAGGCCCAGGGGGCCATATGCCAATAATAATAATTACTGAATGTCCCTTAGAAATGTGTGTGGCTTCAAAGGGCATCAGTGCTATGCTGTATAAAAAAGCATGTGCACCATTGTGCACCTCCCAAACAAAGAAACCCTGACGACCCCAATCCTGAGCCTTGCAGTGGAGTCGCACACCCTTGCAGTACCCAGGTCAAGGCACCTTCCACTGGCAGGTAGCCTCTCAGAATGGGATACCAGAACTCACAAGGGAAGGTAAGCCTGTCAGGGTAGTGTTAACACCAGTGAGCACCCTACAGCAATTAGCCCTAGTCTTGTGTAGCTCAAGGAGAACAGTTTCTTAAAGTCTACACAACAAGTGAGGATATAAACACATGCTTATGAAGCAAGTACTAAAGATTGGAATAATACACAAGTAGATGGGCCTCCAAAGAACAAAGCCCAAAGAATAGAAAATATTTATCTGGAAAATAAACCAGGAACCGAAGGGAGTTTGGAGTGACTCTGGAAGAGGTGTGATCATAACTGATACCAGGCTGAATGGAGCTGGTATATTCCTGATGCTGTCACATAGTGGCAGGCATTTGCTACTAGTGGGTGAATGACCTCATTACTTGATGCATTATTTGTGGCTTTGTTTACATTTGTTTTGCTATTGTCTATTTGCTCTACTTTTCTGGTGGTGGTTCCTTAGGGAGGGCAATCATAGATCCACTTCTCTCTGTCTCTGAGGGAGGGGGACCAGGTTTTGTCCTCCAGTCCCCAGTAGGCTTTACTGACTCACAGGAGCCTGGTGTGACTGGACTGGCATAGTTATCTTGAGGTTATCATAAGTTAATTTCAGGGCTTTTAGTGTCCCCACAGCCCGGTACTCGACCAGGCCTCTACCCGCAGGAAGCAGCCCGTGACAGCTGACTAACTCCCAGGTACCTATTTACTGCTAGGTAACAGGGGCATAGGGTGAAAGAAACTCTGCCCATCATTTCTCGCCGGTGCCTGGGACCACAGGATCACATGTCCAGCGTGCTGTCCGCTTGGCCGACCGGCCCCCTTAACCAGAGTTAACTGGCCCCCTGAGTTAACCAGAGTAGCTGCCTACAGAGAGCCACTGAGTGGCCCCTCTAAATATGAAGTGATGAATTTATTGACAGTCTCTTTCCTGGTGAATCCTTGGTAGTTATGCATATCTTGAACTCTAGTGAGACCAAGCCTTGAGAAGTGTGCAAGACTTCAGAGATTCATTCTTTCATACTAGGAGTCAAAATCAGAATTTGGCTCACTATGAGGTAAAATAGCTTCCAGAATTTAGAGAGGCTACACATGAACCCACAGGTGATAATGACCCCAAGTAGAACCCCTAGAAAGGAAAGCAAGTGCAGAACTTGTTGGATAAGACAAATGAACTCGACTAACAGACATGAGAGGAACAGAAACCATCCCAACAGACAGTTACTGGGACAATCTGCCTGATCCAACTGACAGATGAAAACCTCCAGGTGAATGAGACAAAGTGTAAATGATAGCTAAACACTGACATGAAAGAGGGAGACATAAGCCACAGGAAAATTAAAATGTCAAACAGCACACCTTATTAGTGAAAACTTGGAAGTTAATGTAGAGCCAAGTACAGTACATTGTGGGAACACAAATGCTCATGGTGCATAGGACAGTAAAATGAATGTGCCCCCCCCCCCCCCCCAGCAGAACAAAATGATGGGACAAACATCCCACACAGGACTAAAAAGTAAACAAAGGACGGATCCGCCTCTAAATCCTAATGAAAACAATATATGTATCTTGAGGTTATCTTGAGATGCTTTCTGGGCTTAGCATCCCAACAGTCTGGTCCTCGACCAGGCCTCCTTTTTGTTACACACCCCCAGGAATCAGCCCGTGGCAGCCGTCTAGCTCCCAGGTACTGTCTCCACTCGATTATCCGGACTATATGGGAAGGACCCCCAGCCGGATAATCACGTATTCTGAATTAGAGTACTTTTTCACCTCTGAGTCCAAAAGTGACCATTTCCAACAATTTTTATACCATAATCATGATATGAATTGACTCACACTATTTAGTGTGTGGGGGCTGGGTGGGTGGTTAGCTGCCTAGCTGGTAGGTGGGCAGGGAAAGTGGGTGGGCAGGCAGGGATATGTGGGTTCAGGCAGGTAGGTTTAGGATGGGTGGATGGCAGGCAGATGAGCTTGGTGGGTGAACAGGTTCAAGCAAGCAAGTGGGTGGGTGGGTGAGCAGGCAGGTGGGTTGGTTGGCAGGTCTGTGCAGGCAGGTGGGTGAACAGTAGGTGGTGGGGGAGCAGGTAGTTGGGTGAACAGGTGGGTGGGTTGGCAGGTCTGTGCAGGCAGGTGGGTGAGTTGGCTATGCAGGCAGATGGGTGGGTTGATAGCCAATCAGGCAGATGGGTGAACAGGTGTATGGGGTGGGCATGCAGGTGGGTAGGTGGGCATGCAGGCAGGCAAATAGGTGGGCATGCAGGCAGGCAGGTAGGTGGGCTTGCAGGCACGTGGGTGGGTGGGCGAGACTGGACAGAGAGATCACACGTCTGTGATCTCCTTCCTGGTCACCCCCTGCCCTCACCTCACGCTAGCCTCCCAAACTCCCCTCCATGTGTGTCAACAAGTGGAGGTTGACAAGCTGTACGATGACTTTAATATATGTGCCTTAACCCTTAAACTGCGCAACGCGCCTGCAGGCTCAAGTCTGGTTTGCGCAATGCGCCTCCGGGTATTTGTATTTTTCACGTTCCATTCAAAACTCCCGCGGTTACATGGGGTTCACATCAGCTTCCTCAGGGCTCTTGTAAACAGACGCCATCTTTAAAAAAAATCGTGGTCCACATTCCCGGGTGTGGGAGCCTCAGTAGTGTGTGAGCAACCAAGGCTGGCGCTCGCAGCATGAGCGCACAGCACTGCTGTTCAGCATGTGACCACAGCATCGCCTAATAATGTCAAAATATATATATAACTTGTATTATTTAGCTATGATAGTGTTATATTAGAGCCTGAGTGTGATAATGACTGGGTACAATGTTCAAATCTCAGTGATTCAATGCTGTTCACGATGTTCACAGCGCTAGCCACAGCACCACAGCATTATTTCGTTCATCTAGGAATCTTCAAATGATTTCTTAGGTTCCTTTTCAAAATAAACGTGTGGTCAATTATTCATTTACAGGAATTAGTGACCAGGATTGTGATAATAGCAGGATTGTGGTTATAATTAGCGTTGTGCGTAGTATTGTGGAAAGAGGAATTTTGATGAGGGAGGGAGGGCGAGAATTGAGGTAGCCTCATTTTGTGTGTGTGGCTGCCACTCTTGTTTTGCTCACCATACTAGCTTAGTGGTTCACTATGGGCAACACATATGTACATGGGTATATATAGTGTGTGTATATAGTGTAAGAACAGCAACAGGAGAATGTTGAGAGGAGCTATTTTGGTGAGGGAGGTGACGTAATCGTAGCGTCGTCTGCTGTGTGATTTTTCATGCAGTGTATGGTGGCCACTGTACTGTTTGGTCACAATACCAGCTTACTTGCATAGTTCTGGTAAATAAAACATGTAGATAGGTATATAGACCATGTGTAATAAGAACTATAACAATATGGAGGGAGGAGCAATGTTGGCGAGTAAGATGTTGGAGTGAGGGACACTGACTGGGTGTGGCAGCTCTCACTCGAGATGTTCTGAATGTGTTTATGGCCAAATGCTCCTATTGGCCCATACGAGGCAGCTATTATTGGCCCATACGAGGCAGCTATTATTGGCCCATACGAGGCAGCTGCTATTGGCCCAAACGAGGCAGCTGCTATTGGCCCATACGAGGCAGC